GACGGAGGCGGCGGCGAGGGGGAGAAGGAGGGGGCCGGGAGGGGGACGGGGACGGGGACGGGGACGGGGACGGGGAGGAGGAGCGGGGGGTCCTCCTCCTCCGGGGTCGGGAGGAGGGGAGGAGAAGGGGGCATCGGCGTCGGCAGTTGCGGCCATGGGGGGCGGCGGCGGCGGGGGTTAGATCTGGGGAGACGGGGGGCGGGCGGAGGAGAAAAGGGGAGGAGGCGCAGGGTAGCGAGGGGGAAGGAGGAGGCGGCGTCGGCGTTGGCGGCTGCGGCCATGGGTGGGGGCGACGGCGGCGACGGCAGCGGGGGTTGGATCTGGGAAAACAGGAGCGAGCCGCGAGCGGAGGAGAAGAAGGAGAAGGAGAAGAAGAAGATGCAGAGCAGCAGAGCACATGAGAGTGAGAGAGAGAGAGAGAGAGAGAGAGAGAGAGAGAGAGAGAGAGAGAGAGGGGGGGGACTAAAAAGTCTAAAATGATTTTCTCACCACACACGGCAGCAGCAATTTTTTTTTTTTTTGGAACCGGGCCCGTAGGTCACGGGCCGGTTCCGATTCCGAACCGCGGGCCCGGTCAATGGGCCGGTCCTGGGTTTGACCGGGCCGGTTCCGGGCCAAAACCGACCCGTGGCCATGACTACCTGACAGTTATTGGTGTTCCATGAACTTAGTGAGTGAACCAACTTGTTCAACACATTATATGCGAGTCTCAATCATAACTTCGGCCTCTAGACCATGAAAGTCTCACCTGATAGTTATTGACATCATGATCATAGTTAAGTCTAGCCCAACATCTCATGGAAGTATTAAAAACACAAACGATCCCCTCACCTGACAGTTATTGGAAATCGTTTGGCTCCAACCTCAAAACATCATATGCATAATGGAGTGATCCAATATTATAAATAGTAATTGACCCCTATGTAGCCATAGCTAGTCAATCAACCACCATAATGCTGGATCAAACCACGACGATAGAAGGCCACGAGTCCGAAACCCGTTTCGACTTAATATAATTAATAAGGAGGTTTGAGTTGTTATTAATGGTCTCACTTTGCATATTAATCGGTTTAACATGCATAACAACTGAATAAATAAATAGATATCAAATGCATAAATATCTATCCTACGTGGTGATCATGGAATTATGACTTAATGGGTCTCGAGCCAATGAGCTCCATTTAGCCATTTTAATGTTTTAATAGAGACCTGCTCTTCACTTCTTCTTGGATCCTTGAACTCTTCACGGACTGGGCCCATAGAGCTCTCCGGTTTAATGGCTCCTCCACTCGTAACGTTTACATCAATGATTGATTTTGCTAAACTATACTAAAAATACATTACATGAAAAATAAAAAAGAAGGACGCAACCTCCATTTAATAATTACAACCCTAAAAATACCCGTGAATATCATACATTCATCCATACATCAATCATATTGATTAAGGGTTTTTCCATGATCACCACCCTTCCTCGCGAGCCATAAATTCTAAATTTAAAGCTTTGGAAGGCACAAATCAAATTATGCATTGAATCAAATTCATGGCCGAGCAACGTAAGCCGCGTCAAGAAATCAAAGCCGGTGAAACAAATTTCACATGCGTGATTCCAAGTGACGATAGCATGGTCGCCTCTAGATTCATAGTCGTGAATTATTTTGCAGAAGACAAATGCAAAAGAAAATAAGTTATGGATTTTTTATTCAAAATTAATTTAGTTCCAAATTTTGCTCAGTTGATCAAATTTATCATATAAATTAATCGACTTCTATAGGCCACTTAAGAGCAAGCAATTCTCTCAACAAACGTAAATTGGCCATTGGATCGCAAAATATGTGAACTAAAATCAATTAAACGCACGAGAACGCCTAAGGATTGGCTCTAATACCACTGTTGGTTTTCTACGGAACATGCATAGTTAAAATTAAACATAAACACAACGAAAAGATATAACCATACATGTATCTCCAAAGGCGTTATTCGTGCGTTTCAATAAAAAATCGGAAGATCATAGGGGGTTAAACAGATTACCTCTTATAGCATGTCCAAAACGATTTTCAGTTTGGATGTTCTTCAGTTCGAGCCCCACAATCATCGAACTTCTAGTTCAGACACATCACCAGTCACAACGAACGGAAGAAAGAACTTGCGGGTAATCATCACTATAATTGTGCTAGCAATCTCGTGGCGATAATTTTCCGCACTCACGATATTTCAATCACAACGCTGGAAGAGAGAAAATGTAATTTTTAATTCTCACGAACACATGATAATTGTATATACACTTTTTCATCATCCTGCAACTATTGCTGATTGCGCTTTTAATATGGCGATCAGCAATGGTTGCTGATCGCATGCATGATCAGCAACAATTGCTGTTTGTGTGTGTCATGCACATGGTCAGCAGTCAGCAACCGTTTGTTGACCGTGCGCCTTTTCTTTTTTTCTTTTTTTTAATTAAAACGCACACAGACAACAACTATTGCTGACCGTGTGCACTTTAAAATTTATATATATAAATATAAAAAAAAACAAACATAGAAGTGCGCGATCATTATATGTGTATTTCGTAAGCATCGTATGCACACACGCCCATGACAAAAATTTAATTTAATTTAATCCCATTTAATTTAATTTCAATCCGACTCAATTCGATTGCAAACATATTTGCAATATCGTCTCTTCCGTACAACATCATCCTAAATTGGTTATGGTGTGTGACATCCCTAAGTTTATCACTGAGCTGGTAGTAAGACTTGCACCAACACATTAGTACTCTCAAGAGGATTGATTGTCCCGATCAACCTCTAGGTTCTACAAGTTATGATTGACATCTAGCAATATATCATAGCTACCCAGATAATGTGAATACTTTAAGAACATAACAAACCTATCAACTTTGGCTACAATGTAATTCAATCTCTCTGTCTTACTATGTCCCGATCGAATAAAGACCATGGAATATTTGTCAAGCCACCAATTCGATCATATGCACAAACCTAATTGACATGCATTTTATATGAGACATGAACAGTTCATTCTTGGTTACAACCCCGACTGAGGATTTTAATGCAGTGTCAAGATTAGATTGCATAGGACATCATTATTGTACCTTGCGTATAACAAGGAGACATATTCCATTTTGCGCACACGTGTAACTTCCTATGTGAATGAATTATGACTATTAAGTACAGAGACGGATCAACGAACCGGCAATATGCGCACCTATGAACCATAGCCATCCAACACACAAGTCAACACTATGCCTCAGGTCAAAGGATTATTTACACAAGACCAGAGCATGAACGATTAGGCACTGACCACGTTAAAAGCTTCCATGTTGCTAATCGTTATATGCATGTCATGTTTAGTGAACTTGTCTGGTACAATCACCTGTGTTCTAACTCGGGCATCACAATACCCAATGACTCGTCATTCCCTTAAGTATCCAATACTTAATGGTGAAACTAATAACACACCGGTCTCAGCAGGATCATTGATATCCACTTAATGATCCATCGACCGGGAACAATTTAAAGATTCAGTCTAACTATGAACCTGTCACACATATTATCAAAGTCTCAAGAATAGGTCCAGTCACAACTGATCTTACGGAATCATTCATAAATTTAAATAATTGGATAAATGAATGAATACGTCATTGCCATTAAATAAATAATGAAATTGGAAATACAACTTAAATCCCTAACATGTAACTATTATATGGTGACTTTAGGGCATACATCTAACACTCTCTCCCTCCCCGACTCACTCACGGACGACACTCTGCTCTCTCTACTCACGCGACCTCTTTCTTCCGGACTTACGACCTAGCTCTACTCTATCTCGCCACCGCCACCTTCTCCTCCGCCTTGTCCATTGCCTCCACCGTTGACTCACGACCTATCTCTGCTCTCTCTCCCCGTAAATTTCCGCACCTTAACCTCAACTTCTCTGTATATCACATCATCCTCTCAAATTTATACACGCACAATCGAGAGAAGAAAACATCTCCTCCTCCTGCTATACTCTCCTTGGCCCTCCTCTGTCAGCCACATGCCAAAACCAAAGATCTTGTCTTTGTTCCACATGGGTTTATTAATGTGAAATAGTTTCGTGTTCATATATATTTTTGTAATAATTAAGTGACCAAAAGGTGTCTTGATTTCTAAGTATCTGCGACAGTGACCGCATGGGAAGTGTAGTCCCAAGCCTTGGTTAGAGAGATCAATTTCCTCTGGTCCTTATTCTTCCTCAATGGCACGGTTAGTAAGCCACGATAGTAATTGCTAGTGTGATTAAGTACCGTAGAAACTCATATTGACATGTTTCATTCATTCTTAAACTCTTGTACCGATATAATCGACACGATTAGTATGGCACGATAGCAATTGCTAGCACGATTAAGTGTTGTAGAAACTCAAATCAACATGTTTCCGACCATTCTTGGATGACAAAATTTTCGTAATAGCATGTTCTTGTAACAATACAATAGACCCGATTAGTATGACATGACAGCATCAAAACAGAAAGAGATAATAATACAAACAGTCTCTGAATTTTGGCCTAATATGCAATGTGATTCATGAACTTTTAATTTATTCAATATAGTCCCTGAACTTTAGCCTAATGTTCAATGTGGTTCCTAAACTTTTAATTTATTCAATGTGGTCTCTGAACTTTTGGTGAATGTTCAATTTAGTCCTTGAATTATATGAAAATGTTCAATATAATCCATACTATATGAAAATATTTAATGTAGTCATTCCATTAATTTAAGAGTAGGGACTACATTAAATATTTTCATATAACTCAGGGATTAAATTGAATATTCATCAAAAGTTTAGGAATTATTTATGTCATTTTCTCAAATAGAAACGGTAAAGTGGTCATCAATTGGTAGGCCCAGGCCCTAACCGGGGTATGGGCCGGGCCCACCCTCTCCATCACCATCCCGGAGCAGATAATTCCGCCGGAGCAGATTCTCAGAAACACCATCATTCCTCAGGAATAAAATTCTCCCCCGGAACAAGAAAAGGAGAAGAATCTCTCTCTTTCGCCATTGATTTCCTGGAGCGCACTGGGGCTCGTTAGGATGACGCAGCGCTTGGGACGGAAGCCAGTCCGTCGGTGGACAAGTTTGCGCATTTGATCGAACCCTTTATGCACTCGCTCTCCCTCTCTCTCTCGCGCTCTCGCGAGGCTCTCTCTGGTTTTTCCTACGACTGGTGGGTCTCCCTCTCTCTCTCTCTCTGGGTCGAAATTTTTGCTTCTGGGTTTCGCGGCTTTGTCCATTTTCTGCCTGTTTGTGACCGCGGACGGCGATGTTCATTGGGTACTTCCGTTTTCTGCTTCATTTGCAGACGATGGTGTTGTTTGTCGTAAAGTGTTGTTGTGGTCGGATCGAGTGACTGCCCACTGTTCGTATCCATCTCTGTGCTGTTTCTTTCTCCTTTATGGTTGTTGCTGGTAATCATCTCTGTGTACTCTTGCCGTGCCAACATGCGATAAGCAAGCAGAGAATTGTCGACTTGGCTGATCTTGATGTCCCCCTGTTGTGTTGTGTTACCGCTTTCTGAAACCCGATTTTGATGTGCCGATGACACTGAGACCTTGCTTGCTTTACCTTGGAATGTGGCATGGTATGTAAACCCGTTCATCATCATGGACTAAAATCACCCAGAGAATTGGATTCCCCTAAAAATGCGGAATTTGAATATTCGGGTAGAGCTGATATGGCGATTCTGGGGAAAAAGAATTAGCTTGTGAATTCAACCCACTCGTGAAGTGGTGAGCTTCGTTCATCGTCTTTAAAACCCCCACCCCCGCCGCAAGCTCGGCCAAGGTACCGTTAATCCATTCCCTATCATGATTGGATCTTTGTCTCGGGACAAAGCGAAGATAAGAATGTGTATCACAATGGCTTGAGCTAACTTTTCTGTCATAGCTTGAAGTTCATGGACATGGCTTCATCTTTGTTGCCTTGGATTTGGTGCAAAAGGCTTGACTTACTCTTTGTTGATGTACATCGAGATTTTGCGGTGTTGCAGATGAAATGTTTGTGAAAATGCTTGTCTGAATTGTTAATATGTTTCTATTGTAGGATAATAACGTGGAATTTATAGAGGGATCATCATATGTGATTCTTCATTTGGAATTGATCATTTTTTTTCGGTTTACCATTTTGTATCCGTGGATCTGATAAACTATTCACACATTCCATTTTGTACATTTTAACTCCATTTTGCAGTTCAAATTGATCATTTATGTTCATTTCTAGAGTTGAAACCGAACAATAGAAAAGGAACCCCATCTACAAGAAATTTGATTACTTGGAATGGGATTTCATTTCATGGTTCCATGGCCATGAACCAAACAGTTACTTGTGATTTTTGTTTGCCTGGGGCATGTATTACCTAGCCTCCCCTGCCGTAGATGGCTTTACTAATGCATGCCAAAATGTTAAAATGTGTCAAAGTAATGTCTCCTTTGAATTGCTATCTAACATGTGCAATTTTTTATTGATACTGTTAGTAGAGCCATTGTCGGAATCGTTAAGCACGTTAGACATGACAAGCACCGAGCATCCAAAGAGAAGAGTGGCATTCGTGCTGATTGATGGTGTGGGCGATGTGTCTCTGCCGAGGTTTGGGTACAAGACTCCTCTCCAAGCAGCTAAAGTGCCTCATTTGGATGCCATTGCATCTGCCGGTGTGAATGGTCTCATGGACCCTGTCGAAGTAGGATTGGGTTGCGGAAGCGATACTGCTCATCTTTCCTTGTTGGGTTATGACCCAAGAGTGTATTACCGAGGCCGTGGCGCGTTTGAGTCCATGGGTGCAGGATTAGCTATGTCGCCAGGTGATATTGCATTTAAGGTGTGTATCTGTTTTAAATTGTCCTTCCCTCGTAATCATGGGTTTTGTAATTCCTACAATTTCTTTCTAATTTTGGCAGTACCGTGTCATTAGAAGTCTAAGGAGGTCAATGAGGATATACCGTTGTTGCAATTCGGTTCTTGTGTACACATATTTTTCTAGTTTCTTGTCATTTAGGCGTACAAGTACGAGTTTTAATTTCAAGAAGTACAATCCTAGGGTTGAATCATTTGGTTTCTTCATCTTTGAATCCCTTGGTTGTGCAATGGAAGAGTTAGGTCATTAGCTATTTTGGCAAGATCTTGCAAATCATGCTATTACAAAATCACGTTTGTTCATTTTAGCATAAAGGAAGGGAATTACTTAAGTTATGATGCAATGCTTGGGATATTTGATAAGGATGTCCAGGATCATTAAGTCAGGTTTTTTTTGTTATTGGGATAGATGTCCGATGAGTCACAATGCTGTCTTTTGTTCTCTTGCATCTTACACATGCATGCGTGAATTTGGAATAACTTATTCTCTGTCGAATGAATACTATTGAAGTTTGTGAGTTGTGAAGGGAGGCTTTTCTCCATGTACAGTCTAATCTGAGTGTTGGTTTGAACTTTCTTGTACATATCACCATTTTATTGTTCCGTTGTATAGAATGGAGGAGTTTGTTTGATCGTGGTCATTAACAGTATTTCTTGGCCAGTAACCTAATAACAAGGTCACGCCATTTTCTGATCCTCAGTCGAATTTTGCAACCTTGGATGAGAAAACTGGAATAGTCATCAGTAGGAGGGCTGACAGACATTTCGAAGAAGAAGGGCCCATTCTTTGTGCCGCACTGGATAGGATGAAGCTCCCATCTTTTCCTGAGTATGAAGTCAGAGTCAGGTGAGTTCACCAATATTTCTCTCTTTTGAAATTTCACTAACCAGATTTACATCACAGAATCTTCTGTGAACCTGCCTTGGGTATTCAATTGAAACTTTGTCTATGAACTACATGAAGCTGCTAAAGGGATCTCTCTTGTACTTTCAAAATTTTCAAACTTTCTTTCCGTAGATATTGCAAACGTTATTTCCCATGAAATACCAAACTTATTACAGATTGGAAAAGGTGTCTCTATCCAAGTGACTCTGTGGATCCATGCAGCTGTTGATCAAGTTTGAGTTTCCGGTCTAGTTATTTTTTGAAAATCTGGGAAGTAATAATGGAATTTTTGACAGGTATGCAACTGAGCACAGGTGTGGGGTGGTTGTAAAGGGTCCAAAGTTAAGTGGGAATATATCTGGGACTGATCCATTAAAGGACAATCGCTTACTTTTGCAAGTTGAGCCTTTAGATGATACTGAAGAAGCAAGGCATACTGCCACTGTTGTTAATGAGCTATCCAAGGAAATTTCTCGAACTCTAGTTTCTCATCCATTGAATGTCAAAAGAGCGGCAGAAGGGAAAAACATTGCAAATCTTGTCCTGCTAAGAGGTTGTGGGATAAGAATCGAGGTCAGTTTGAACTGTAGGGACAAGGCTGCATGTTTCTCTTTTAAGTTACAGTGAGTTTTTCTTGCTGCAATGTAGTAATAATCTTTTACTTTCTGTGCGTTATTTTGGCCCTGGGTGTGTAAGTGTGGCTGCCACCATGTTTGAGATTATTTAGATTTTCTAATGGAAACTGTAAACCTAGAATTCATTTTTTATGCTCGTTGTTGTTAAAATCTAACGTTGCGTGTTTAAGAAGTTTGTTTGTCATATTTAAAGCTCCAATTGCTTAATATTCCAAGTAGTTATCTGACCCGTCATCCAGATTTGGATCTTGGCATATTAAATTTTCAACATAGCAACGTAGGAATGAGAAGTATGAGGTTCAAAATGGTTTTAGGGATAAGATATTGGAATGCAATCAGGGATAAAGCTAAACTATGGTGGTGATCTGTCCAAACTCTTGACTTCGTTGCTTCCTCTCTGTGGTAGCTTTCTAAGTGAGAAGGCGCACTTTCTTATCCGAGCATGAGGGTCCTAGGAAAATGCTATTTTATGTGCATTTACAGTTAAGTTTTGAATGCGTGAGTTGTAATACCCCCTCCCCCCTTTGTTAACAAGCAGCCCTATTCAGCATTACAAACATTTGAGTATTTCATGGCAGGTTCTTCCATTTGTTAAGAAACATGGTTTGTGGCCATGCATGGTAGCTCCCACAAAAATCATAGCTGGTCTAGGCCTATCACTTGATATTGATATCCTACAAGCTCCAGGAGCAACTGGAGATTATCGGACGCTTTTGACATCCAAAGTATCTGCAATAGCTAATGCACTCTCAGCTCCTTTGCATGTTTGTCCAAAAGTTTTCGTACCAGGAGAGGACGTGGACAAACCAGGTCGACCAAGTGGCTATGATTTTGGTTTCCTCCATATTAAGGTCAGCACATTTCCGGGTTTACATCCTAGAGAAGGAAGAGAACCTTACAGCTTCTTTTTTTCCACTTTCTTTTGTTTGCGCATTGAATTAATTTGCATTAAGTTTTGTTTTTAATAGAAGAATCCAGAAACGCCTTCTCTATAGAACATTTTTTTTTTTTTTTTGTAACCGAGGTGTCCGGGCCAGCTTGCGCGCACCTCGACTATTCCTCGGGGGAGACTAGCACAGCAACCCACCGCCATAGCCCCCCACTTAAACATTGGTTCTTTAATATCTTTATTATCTTTATTTGGTAAATCCAATTGTGGATGTTTACTTTATCGCCTGAGCATGGGTGTCAAGATAATTTATAAGGCGTTGTCCTTGAAGATTTTGACTATTCTGGGGGTAGTGATATTCCATTATCTCAGTGCAGGCAATAGATGATGCCGGCCATGACAAGGCAAGCGTTTTCAAAGTAAAAGGATTGGAATCCGTGGACCGAGCTATTGGGCAACTAGCCAGACTACTTTGGCAAGCAGAATCAACTGGGAAATTTCAGTACGCCCTTTGCGTGACTGGGGATCACTCTACACCAGTCGAATATGGAGATCACAGCTTTGAACCTGTTCCATTTGCGATATGTTGGTTGAAGGACTTTGTTGGTGCTGTAGGTGGTGAATCGGTTCTTGCTGAAACTTCTCTTGATCCCTTTCCCCTTCCTACCGTTAAGAGTGGAGAAGACTTGGAAGAAGATGTGGCTAGGCAAAAAGAGGGAGGGATCAATCAAATACGAGCCTTTAACTGTGACTCTGTCTACAAGTTCAGTGAGATTGCGGCAGCGAGGGGATGTCTTGGGCGTTTTCCAGGAGGAGAGATGATGGGGATAGTGAAGTCATTTCTGACACTGAATGCTTGACTTTCATTTTCTGATTGAGGAATAACATGGCCTTCTGGGTCCGCTGTACCCACTTAAGATATACCGACAGGCCAATCTGATCTGGGGATTCTTTTAAACATTTAACAAAAGCCTCATCTTCTGTTGTTTATTGAAGAGGTAGCAATGTGTAGAAACGTTGGTGACTTCCCATTGTCTGAACTTTGTTTCAATAATATCTGCTTTTGCCACATTTCAATTGACTTGTTCGACTTGATTGGTAAAATTCTTCCTTAGGGCATCTGATATTTTACCACAGAAGCGTGATTTCTGAAACCACATTGTCAGTGTTTCTGGTATTTGTTTCCAAAACATTACGCATCTTACACGCTGCTCATTCGTCTTCCGTCTTTTGTACTTTTAATTGCTTGTCCCTACGAAAGTTCCTGCACAGATTAACTGATTCTCATATCTGGATGTCATCCGTTGTTCATCCCATGGGTTTTCCGTGGAGTGGTTCACAGTTTCATTCAATTGGTAGGATCAAATAACAGAGAAACCAAACTCTGTACTCAGCCAAACAAACCTAAATACCCACCTTCCATGCCATAGCCAGTAGAATTCACACAGGTGTGTGCACGCCAAATGCTCAAGATTGCATTATTGTCACATCACTGATCAATTCAGCAAGAAGAAAAAGAAAGGTTTCGCCAATCTACCATTTCCTCAAGACAGGATTTCGCTCATCGAATGGAGGAACATAGACGAGGCACTCACCGAGCTCCGGTTCATTCTTTGTGCTTGATCGGCCTTTGTCATCCAACCTTTCTCTTGCTATTAGTTGCAGATGGAAAATACAGAAGGTAGTCCTCTATTTTTTTTTTTCATCTTCTATAATTATCATCCTTAATTATTTGTCTCCGGTTATTAAACAAAAGGATTGACGCAGATGTAATTCAACTCGCTACAAACCCACTTCGCATGTTTTTTTCATGCTAAATTTCCACGAGTAGACATAGTCAAGAACCCCGAGTATAGCCTAAACTCTGTATGCTTTCTACACAGTCAAGATCCAGGTTTGAGCATGTTACAGTCATTGAACACCGTAAGTTTGATGAACTCATGGATGAAAACAAACTTTTTGCTGGTTTTGCAGGTAGTCGTGCACGTGCTTGAGGGAGCAAGATTGTGGTCGGCGGTTGTTTTCGCGAAAGACCTAACAGAATGAGTAGCCTAAAGCATTTGATCCGGAAGACCCATACCAGCAGTTTCAGTAATTTTCCCCGACACGGCCATGGCCTACTTCTATGCTCATCCCATTTCCCACAACAGTTCTACTGATCTACGAGATAAAAAATTTACTTATTTTCAACTCTGTTCGTTCAATTCTTGTTTTTTCTTTGGTTGAGAGAAGTGGGTCAATTGATTTCTTATTGGGTGAATACCACGAAAAACCCCAAATTGGTAGACCTGTGAAAAATTTACCCCAAACTAATTTTTTTACCACAAAAAACCCCCAAACTGGTACACCTGTAACAAATTTACTTTACGTTAAATTAAATTTATACCACGAAGAACCACAAACTAGTGAATATGTGACAAACAGAGGGATAAATCCCTAAACTGTTATACCCATCAATTGCTACGTGTTATCCAACTCAGCAATTTGATGGTAAAATTTAATGAAAACTAACGGAGGGTAAATTTGTCACAGATGTACCAATTTGAGATTTTTTATGATTGAAAAATTAGTTTGAGATAAATTTATCACATAAGTGCCAATTTGGGGTTTTTTGTAATATTAAGCTTTTCTTGTTTATTCAATTGTGTCGGTCAATTCTCACAACACTCACAACTTCTTTTGTGCTTCAATGGTGTCTGTATACTCACGGGTGGGTGAAATGGCCATAAAGAGAAAGCTTAGTAGAGAATTACTAGCTTCTTTCACGGGGTAATTGTCTTAAAAATCCTAAATCTGCGTCTAATTTAGTCTTAAAACCTTTCAATTATGTCAATTTAGTCTTAAACCTTTTGAAAATTTGTCAATTTAATCATGAACTTTTTAACGAATTGCCAATATAATTCTTCCTACTAATTTTGACCGGAAATCGTTGACATGGCAGTCCAATCCTACGTGGTGCGATCGGCAATGATGTGAATAGTTTTTTAATTAATTTTAAAAAAATTATAAATTATTTATTGATTCAATTTCTTTTCTTTCTTTTTTTTGTCACAGGGACCGGCCCTTGGGCGAGGGCCTCAAAGCCCTCCTTGGCCGTGGGCGAGGGCTCGCAAGCCACAGCGAGGGTGTCGCAGCCCTTGCCAGCCCTCGCTGTGGCCGATGAGGGCTTGGGCGATGCGAAAGGCGAAGGCTTCACGACCCTCTCCCTAAGACTAGCGGGGATCGCGACCCTTGGCCTAGGGTTGGCGGGGATCGTCGGCCCGCGACCAAAGGCCAGCGCCTCCACTAGCCATGTAAATAAAAAAGACAAAAAATTTTGGAACTTTTTTTAAAATATAAAAAAATTGTGGCGCTAGTGTGGGCCGCGCAAGATTGCCATTGGCCTTGCCGGCCTTGTGAATAAAAAAATAGAAAAAATAGAAAAAAAATCAATAAAAAAATTTAAAAAATTTCAACTTCATTGCCGGCCACGTCACGTAGGACGGATGTCAGCCCTAACAGCTCTGTCAATAAAATAGGAAGAAAAAGAAAGAAAAGAAAAGAAAAAATTAAAAAAAAATCAGTAAAAATTAATAAAGAATTCGGAAATTTTTTTTGAAGGATTAAACAATTATGCACGCTAGTGCTGACGACATTGCAGTAGTATTCTCAATCGTCAGCTACTCAGAAATTCTGACCCTTTTTTTTTGTTTGTGGTTTCAATATAGAAAGCATAGCTAAAATACACGGCAATCAACGACAGAGATGCGTTAGGGCGCATGATACAAAAATCTGATACGTAATCTTGCTCAAAAGAAATGCCCGAGTAATCCCTAAAGAAATGCATGATCTCCATTTCATTCAACCCTTGGAACGATTCAACAAATATAAAAAAATGTCATGTTTGGCCTTCATTAAAGTAAGTTTCCTCTCAATCAAGAATTGGTGCAGTAGTCTTCTCAATCACACAATCAGAGAGAGAGAGAGAGAGAGAGAGAGAGAGAGAGAGAGAGAATGTATGTGACTCGGCTTCTGTCTGCATGCAGGAAGTCATCAAGCACTCTTGAGGAGTTGCCAAATGAAGGTCCATTTTCAGGCTACCTGGTGATCACGGACGTGGTAGCAGAAGAAGAGAACACGAGTTGCTGGGGAACATGCGAGATCAAATCGGTCAAGAAGTTTCCGTTTCCTCAAGACAGGGTCCTAACCTTCCAGCCAGTTTATGAAGATTCCCCAATCACCAAGCTCTGGTTCATTCCGGCACTCGATAGGCCTCTCTCGTCGAACATCTATTACGTCATAAATGCAGAGGGTAAATACCGAGGGTACGTGTAATGGTACTAACTGCAGTTTGCGCTCAACATGTTCTTCGGATATGCCATATTTGTTGATTTCTCTTGACCAATTATAGTCACAACAAACAGTAATAACATCTATGTTATATTAAACTACTTTTGTCGCAACCGAATCCGATTAACAGCTTGTTCATCTGTTACATTCTGATACCCACACAAGCCTTGATTAATCCAGAGGCTAGGTGTGAGTCAAGTCTACTCACTACTCGTTTCTTTCATTACAAGGCCTTTTCGTTTCAGAATGTTCAATAGATAAGATAAAGAACCATCTTTGTTCACAAAAAGGAGAAAAAAATAAGTTACTGACAGAAAATAATCATATCACCATCTTACCTGCATCAATTTGCTTGATCACTGATTACCAATCTTGATATTTCCACAGAAAATAATGCATATGTTCGAGGGACGTGGACATAGAACCAACTTGTTTCGGCACATCCATCAAGGACACCAGACCGAGCCATTTCGACCCAGAGACACATACCAAGTGTTCCAGATTCACCATCACAACAACAGGGGATTCTTTGCTGAATCAGTGGCTCCAGATGGTTTTCCTCCGAAGCACCTACGGAAGAAATCGTGGGAAGTTCGCACCTCACAATCTCTCCAACCTCACTTAGAAGAGGCCTTTGGCCTCGACATGACTCTGAGAGCCTGCCTCCCCGACTTCACTTTCCCAATCTCAGGCAATCATCCAGCTCCTGCTCCTGTTGTTGTGGGCAAATGGTATTGCCCATGTGTGTTTGTCAGGGACAAAGCTGTTAAGACCCAGCACCAAATCAAGAAGTCAATGTTCTACAAGATGACACTCGAGCAAAAGTGGGAGGAGCTGCACACATGTGAGAATAATGTCAACAAGGGCAATAATAAGGCGAGTGTGAATGTGGCTTTGCCAAAGGAGGAGGCTTCGGTATTTGGCATGAGGGCAGCGAAGGTGGATGATGAGACTAGCGATGGCTTTGTGTGGTTCAGGGTCATGACACATGACGAGGCATTGAGAGGGATCAGATTGGGGGTGAGTGAGGCCATTGCTGAGAAGATGAAGTGGGTGATGAGGGAAGGAGGTCGGGCTGATGATGGTGGTGAATCGGGAAGAGAAGTGAGAGTGGAGAGAGTGGAAGAGTTCAAAGGTGACGAGGAGTGGAAAAGATTTGGTTGCTATATCTTGGTGGAGAGCTTTGTTCTGACAAGATTGGATGGGAGTTTGGTGCTCCAGTGTGATTTTAGGCACACTCACAGGATTCAATGCAAGTGGGAGTGATTGATTCATTGGGTTCTCTGAGGATATAGTGTCTCTGTCTTAGACACACGATGGGTTGCTTTACAATGACTAAATTTATCTTGTCAGGTGTTTTTTCATGTTGCCTCCTGAACCATTTTCTTAAGGGAGTGATGGGTATTGAATCATTCAACTGTTCATTGAAAATTCTTCAACTGTTAATGTTCTTCCGCCATGATAATAGACTTTAACAATTGAAATTTCGAGAACAGCGTACCTTGATCAAGAATGAAAAATAAGAAGATGAAATTCAAAATTTAAACACCAACCAGTCGTATGTCGCCAGGAAGGAGGAAACACAATGAACCCATTGAGTACAGTGAACTCAACCAACGCTAGATGAGGGTTTCATATTTAGAAGTCATATTTGTAGTCCTTGTACTTTCAAGCATTCTCTGAAAAGGTACGCATTTTTATCTTTTATGATCAAGTCCTTCTACAAGCACGAATTTGTCTAATGAAGTCCCTCAGGCACAAATTGTCTAATGTGGCTATCAGAAGATGCACTACAAAAAAACATGTAATTTGCGACGGAAATTTCCATAGGAAATTTTGCGACGAATTTTGCGACGGATTATATTTTCCGTCGCAAATTAGCGACGGTTTATTTCCGTCGCAAATTTGCGACGGAATTTGCGACGGATAAAAAATCCGTCGGAAATTTGCGACGGAATTTTTATCCTTCGAAAAATAAAAAACCGTCGCAAATTCCGTCGCAAATTTCCGACGGAAAAAAAACCGTCGCAAAATCCGTCGCAAATTTGCGACGGAAAGAAGTTCGTCGCAAATTTGCAACGGAAAATAAATCGGTCGCAAAATTTTCGTCACAAATTTCCGACGGAAAAAAAAACCGTCGCCAAATCCATCGCAAATTTGCGACGAAAACGCACGTCCGTCGCAAATTTGTAGTTTATTAGCCCATGATATTCCAACCCTATCTCTCTCTCTCGCTCTCTCTCGCTTTTCTCCCTCTTTCATATGTCTGAAATCAGCAAAATCCGCGCACGCACATATTAATCTCGGTGAAGCTTTTGTACCGGTAAGTATCATAGCTAGCTTCGTAACTATTCATCGTTGAATTGTAATTTCTTTTATTTTATATATGTTTATGTTTGTTTTTTTTTCGTATCTGCATCACCGGTTTAACGACCGGCGACCGGCGACACCTCGCCGGCCTTTGGATGAGGTCGAACGGCCACGCCGTTTTGCGACGGATCCTTGATTCCGTCGCAAATTTGCGACGAATAAATGAAAATTCCGTCGCAAATTTGCGACGGAATCAAGTTGATCCGCCGCAAATGTGCGACGGAATCAAGTTGATCCGCCGCAAATGTGCGACGGAATCAAGTTGATCCGCCGCAAATTTGCGACGGAATCAACGATCCGTCGCTAATTTGCGAGGGATGAATTCCGTTTCCATCGCACATTAAAAATTATTAAAAAATGATTCTTAAGTGATTATTCTTTTTGGGTATGTGTCTAATTAAAGGTATCGCAATCAAAGTGGACGTTGCAATTCTCATCAAATTGACCACTTTCTCCTATCAATATTTCAGTCAAATATTTGGGTAAGTCTTCTTTACATGGTAATTTTTTCTATTTTTGCAATTTCATATTAATTGTTGCATGAATAACAAAAATTATAATTTCCAAAATTTTATGGTTTTAATTAAGAACAATAGATATGATATTTTAAATATTTTACCAGAATTTTTTATTTTAATACAGACACAATGCAAAGAGAAAGGGCTTGGATGTATAATAAGAACTTACTTGGACGTCAAGGATTGACAGATGAGTTTCGTATTGGGTTGGAACTATTTTTAGACTTTGCTAGTAGTAAATATGAGTTCATGGATGGAAATAAGTTAAGGTGTCCGTGTAAAAAGTGCGGTAATGGTAAATTTCTTGTGTGTGATCAAGTTAGAGAACACCTTACTAGATTTGGGTTTAGTCCGAACTATTATAATTGGACTTCCCATGGTGAACCATTTATATCTGATGAAGGATATGGAAGAAGTGACCAATTTTCAGTTAGGGAAGAATGTGGCTATTATGAGCAATTGAACCCATACGAGAGGATGGTGATTGATGCAGCTAGTTATAATTTTGTCACAGAATCAAATCATGCAAATACTAGTTTTACTCCTACACGTGAACAAGTGGGTACTAGTCATGCTTCACAATTGGAAGATATAGGAGTAACGGGTTTTGATGAGAATGTCTATAATGAAACTTTTCAATCTAATCAGTTCCGGGATGTGTTGAAAGCAGCAGATGAACCTTTATGGGCAGGTTGTGAGGACCACACTAAGTTATCGATGACAGCCCGACTATTAAATATCAAGGCAGAGCATAATGTGTCTGCGGATTGCTTCAACTCTTTTGTTGAAGTAATGCGGGAATCATTGCCTCGTGATAATATCATGCCAAGTGCTTTTTATGATATGAAAAAGCTAGTGGATAACTTAGGTCTTCCGGTTGTAAGGATTGATGTATGTAGTAGGGGTTGTATGATATATTGGAGAGATGACGAAAATGCAGAATCTTACAAATTCTGTAGCCAACCTAGGTACAAGATTAACAGGAGGCCGGGTCGTAATCAGAAGCGTAGACCATGCAAGCAAATGTTTTATCTGCCCTTAATTCCCAGATTGCAAAGGCTTTATGCGTCTAAAGCCAGTGCTGAACACATGACTTGGCATGCAAATCATGAAACAGAAGAGGGTCTAATGTGTCATCCTTCAGATGCGGAGGCATGGCAACATTTTGATAGAACATACCCTGAGTTTGCGATGGAGCCTCGGAACATCAAGTTAGGTCTCTGTGCCGATGGATTTACTCAATTTGGGAAAACAGGAAAAAGTTATTCATATTGGCTAGTTATCTTAACGCCGTACAATCTTCCACCTGGTATGTGCATGAAGACACCTTATATGTTTTTGACATTGATCGTGACAGGGCCGTAAAATCCGAAAAAGTTGATAGATGTTTATATGCAACCATTGATTGAGGAGTTACAACGGCTATGGGTTGAAGGTGTCCCTACGTATAACGTTTCTACCGATCAAACATTTGTAATGAAGGCTGCCTTTCTTTGGACGATAAATGACTTTCCAGCTTACGGAATGTTATCTGGATGGAGTATAGCTGGGATCTTAGGATGTCCGATATGTTTGGAGAGGTCAAAGTCATTTAGATTAAACATGGAAAGAAGCCCAGCTATTTTGACTGTCACAGACAATTTTTACCGCCAAGTCATCCTTTCAGAAGGAATAAGAAAGAGTTCACCAAGAATAGGACTGAAAGAACGCGTCCACCATTGAGGTTGACCGGCGATCAAATTTGGGAGCGTGTGCAGGACTTTCCAACTGTTGTTGAGAACCCGCACCGCACGACTTTTGTGTACGAAAGTACACATAAGTGGACAAAACGCAGTATATTTTGGGATCTACCATATTGGAAGGCCCATCTTATTCATCATAATCTTGACGTCATGCACATAGAAAAGAATGTTTTCGACAATGTCATAAATACTGTGATGGATGTCGCCGGAAAAACAAAAGACAACTTGAACGCAAGAAAAGATATGAGAGATATTTGCGATCGGCCAATACTAGCTGTGGATGCAAGCAGCAGGGGACTAAAATCGAAAGCAGTTTATACATTGGATAAGGAGCAGAGGCGAGTTGTTTGTCAATGGTTGAAATCTGTGCGGTTTCCTGATGGATATGCTTCGAACCTCGGGAGATGTGTTGATTTGAATGAATGCAAGTTCACAGGTTTGAAGAGTCATGATTGTCACATCCTGATGGAAAGACTAATTCCAATAATTTTGAAGGAAGTTCTACCGAATTTTGTATGGGGCGCCATTACAGAGTTAAGCAATTTCCTCCATGATATTTGCTCGACAGTGTTAAAAGCATCGCACATGGAAAAACTAGATAGAGATATTCCAATTATTCTTTGCAACTTAGAAAGGATATTTCCTCCAGTGTTTTTTGATTCGATGGAGCATCTCTTAGTTCACTTACCTTATGAGGCCAAAGTTGCAGGTCCCGTCCAATTTCGATGGATGTATCCATTTGAGAGGTAATGTTTTTTTTAAAATACAGTTCAAATTAGTTTATCATATAATATGTTCCGATAAGCTTCTTTCTATTTCAACTAGATTCTTATATCATTTGAAGAAAAAAGTGAAGAATAAGGCACGTGTTGAAGCTTCAATTTGTAATGCATATATTGTAGAAGAAGTGACAACATTTGCATCATACTATTTTGAGCCGCACGTTCAGTGCAAGAGGCGGAGAGCAGGCAGAAATGATGAGAGCCCCATTGATCCCAATTGCACATCATTCTCTATTTTCAATTATCTGGGTCGACCAAGCGGCACATGTCAGTTTCGTTACTTATCAGGCGAAGAATTTCATGCAGCCCGTACTTTTATTTTACTGAACTGCCCAGAAGTCGAGCCATACTTCAAGTAAGTGTAAATTTGCAAATATATGTTTTGTGTGTCAAATATTTGCTAATATATTCAGCATGGTTCAAGACATATGTAAGTTGCTTATGGACTAAAACCAAGTTATTAAAATTATATACATCATTTAGTATAATATATATTATTGACTTTGCATGTGTAACCTTAGATTCACAGTAATTATGATGAAATTGGAGGGCAAGGATTGCTATATCATCTGTCATGGGGTCCACAGTTAAGAGTTCGAAGTTGGCCAGCATATTTCATAAATGGATATAATTTTCATACTCAAGAATATGGAATGGGAAAATCCACATTGAATAGTGGTGTGTGTATTCGGTCATCCAATGGTGGCAGTTCAGAAGATGATTTTTATGGCTTGTTGGATGAAATCATAGAGATAGAGTACCCTGGACCATTAATGATGCGGGTTGTGTTATTTAAGTGCACGTGGTTCGACCCCGTCAAAGGAATGAAGGTGCATACGAAGTTCAATTTGGTTGAAATAAATCACAAGAAAATGTAAATGAAGTATGAACCATTTGTCTTGGCACAACAAGCAATTCAAGTATGCTATGCATCATATCCTAGTTTGAAACGTGACAAAGCTGATTGGTGGGCTGTATGTAAAATCAAAGCACGGAGGAAAATCGAGGAACACTGGAAGGATAGAGCCTATCAACAAGAGGAAGTGTGTAACACGGTTGAAATTGAGGAATATAACATACC